ATTTCAAGAAAGAGAGTTGCAGACAGACCTGGGTCAAAAACTCGCCATTTGACTCGGGCTCGGATGCAACGTCAAGCTTCTTCACGGCCACAGCTTTACCATCATTCAAGCTTGCATAATATACTCTTCCATATGATCCTTCACCAATCAATGACTTAGATCCGAAATTGTCAGTCTTCTCTTTCAGCTCCTCCAAAGACAATGGAGGCACTTCAATAGGTGGTGGGGCCTTCTGTACGTCAGATTTTACAGGAGCTGACACCTTATTGCCCTTTTGGTTCCCTAAACATGCAAAAAATAGATGGCCAAAATAATCCTATGTTATAACCGGAAGACATTTCCATTAAATTGTTCCAGTACTTTGTTAGCAACCTCAAAAACCAATTAAACTATTGAATTTATTTCATATTTATAATAACACTAAAAAAATTTCATACAAATTGATTTTATAAAAAACCAACTTATAATGAAACATTAATAACTCCTGAAAATTTTGTTTACAAAACTAGTTAAATAAGCTTGTCTGATGAGGAAAAATCAACACATAAACACACATGAATACACACACATGCAGACACTTGTTCAATAGGTGATCTTTAACAGCATTAAATTCACAGGTTTCATTTGCCTGCGTATGTTCAAAGCCGAAACATAGAAAAAACTTTGCTATTTGGAGTCAAGAATTAAAACTTAATGTTCAAAGACTGCTGACAGAGATATGGATTGTGGTTGAAATCCATGATGTGGCAAAGGTCATATAATAAACATGGCAACGGAATATTGGTGGTTTCCAGTTTGGCATAATGTTGGCGCTTGTGTTGTGGGGGCAGTAGTAAATTTTGAAAATGATGGCTCAAGGATTTAACTTGAACTCAAAATTTAACACTGTAACCATGATTCTAGAATCACTAGAAACTTCGAGAACTAACACCTTAGGTTACTAAAGTGATTTCCTTTTTTCAATTACAGGAAACTCTTCATAATTCTAAATAAAAGTCAGAAAATTGTACCATCTGCATAATGCTTGGGGCTCTTCAGGTGTTCATTTTCGTTTGATGGATAAGACTCTTCGACGTGACAAGTACAACAGAGCCACTTGCGCATCCTGACTTTCTTCCTCAAATATAAATCGTCGTCAGTACTTGTATTCTCCAACCGTACAAAGTAACCGGGGGGAGGGGCATGTGCCTGCATTGTGCCATAATTTGATTGGATTCAGCATCATCACATAATAAGTAATTTCTAAAACGAACAAAAGTCCTGATAATTGAAAAATTAATGCTTTCAAAAATATCCAAGAGAAATACAAGCAAATGAAACAATCAGTAAGCACTGTCTTTTTTGGTAATCCAGTCAACACTGTCATAGATTTATATGATTGCCAAACAAAGCATTGCACATAAACTAAATTTATTCATATAATTTGTAATTCATAACATAATTTAGAATACTTTTTCTATTTCTTCCAATTCAGTGAGCCTGGTCTCAACAATCAAGAGAGATGGAATCAGATTCATCTTAATTACATACTAACCAATAAATTTCGCATATATACCTCTACTAAACATCATTAATAAAAGAGACATTATTCTTACCACTAAACCACGGCTACGGCAGTTAGCACCCTCCATCAAGATTAAACACAAATGCAAATTCACAATTATACCAAAACCAATCAATTGCAGGACAAAAGCAAGAAACCCAGAAACGAATTGATCCCAATTCTTCAAATTAACCAAACAATCTCAGAATTAACAAGCGAAGGAAACCCCCAATTCAATTTAAGAATAATTACAAAAAGGAATAAATCAGAGAAAGGGAAATGGGTTGAGTTCTGAGATTCAGGGAAACGAGAGAAATGGGAACAGGTCAAATAGGGAATGAGAATTGGGTCGTAAAAGAAAAGCCAGCCAGATCGAAAAACCGTATTTACAGGAAATAAGGGGCAACACAAGATAAACAGAAAATTTACAATATAAGGATGAAAACGACTACCTCTGTTTCTCTTTCTGTCTCTGTTTCTCTCTCTTCTTCTTCGCTTCTCTCTGTCTTTCTCTTTTAGGGTTTGTAAGGTGAAGGGACAGGTAGGATTTGAAAGGGCTTAGGCTGTTGCTTTTTGGGGGCTGAGAGAAAGCTGAGAGGTTGGGTTGGTTTGTTGTATGTGAGAAGAAGAAAAAAAAGCAGAGAAAGAAAGAAAGAAAGAAAGAAAGAAAGAAAGACAGAGAGGCAACGCGGAGTGGCCGACTGGTGAGGCAAATCAACAAATGCTCAGATGGACAGATAGATATACCCTCTAAGTCCTTCCCATTTATTTATTACAAATTTATAAATAAACCCAATCCTAGACATGTATTTATAAAAAACCCCAAGCACTATTTAAACATAGAAACACACCCAAAATCAACCCCAAAGTCAACTTTTTGGGTGTGTTTATAAATGGGTTTTGAGTGTGTATAATGATGGGTTTTGGGTGTGTTTATAAAGTGTTTTGGGTGTTGGGTTTTTTTATAATTTCAACCTCCATTTTGGGTGTTTTAGTGAAACTCCCTTTATTTATTTATGGAAAATGTCCACTTTCTCTCTCTACAAGTTTGTTTGTTTGTCTTGTTTTCTCTCTCTCTAAAACCATCAAATTTTCTATTAAATTTTTTTTTTTTTTTCACCATTTGCGATACATACAATTTACAAATGTCCCTCGCTTTTCACAACTCTAAACTATTTGACGGGTGTTTTTGGGGTATTTGATACTTTTGAAAGTGAGGGAATTTGGTGACGGGTGTTTTTGGGGTATTTGATACTTTTTTGAGTCTTGGTCTTATTTTATTTTAAGGTTTTTTAGGTTTTAGACATAAAAAAATTTTCACTTTTGGGAAAAGCCAAAGCTTTTTCAAAAAAGACAAAAAAATCGCTCAACTTTCAAATCAAAGACATGCAAATGTATTGGATTCCTTAGGAAATCTAAAAATAAATAAGGGCATTTTTGTCCATTTTTGTTTCTTTTAAAGTTTTTCTCTCTCCTTTTGCTTTTTATAAAATGTCCCTTTATTTTATTATGTGTTTTTTCTATCAAAGATAAAACATATTAGATAAACTTCAACATTATAATAGAAAAACATTAACAAGTACCAATTCTAATAGGACAACAAACTAACATGTTAAAGACAAAACTAAAATGCACAAAAGTCGCACTAAAACTATTATACCACATCACCACAATTAACCACAAGCCTAAACAAAGCCCACATACCCAACAAAACTAAAACCCTAAAGCAACATATGAGCCTAAACGAACCCTAGCACCAACACTTGAAGAAGTGTCGTCGCAGCTACACACACCACTCCATCCGTAACAGAATTGGGGAAAACATGATTTCCAACAATCAACATGCACATAAGAGCAAACAAATAATAAAAAAAACTACCTTGACAAATAACAATTGGGTGATTGTAGCAACCTCATTCGAAGACGATGTAGACCCAAATTTAGAGAACATGAGTAGTGTTAGAGAGCGGTTTTTTCATTATGTTCACTTGTGTTGGTGTAAGTGAAAAACTTAACCAAAATGTACTGTGTGATAATGGCATATTACAAATGTCTCATTTTCTCTCTCTTGTATTCTTTCTTTTTTTAAACTAAGTTTGGTCTTATTTTCTCCTTCTAAAAAAACACATAATTTATGTTATTATTCTATTTATTTTTTGAAGCATTTTTTTTTTCTAATAAGAAAAATATTGGGCAATGTGAAAAAGGAAAAGGAAAGTGAGAGAATTGTGAATTGTAATGCAGGTATTGGTGGGCTCCACCTTTATTAGAGAGGCGGTACCAATGTGTATATAAATGTGGTAAACTTAGCATTACCTTTTTTCATTTTTAGTTAAAAGATAAAAGAAGAATGCATGTAAGAGGTAGGGAGGAGTGAGGAATATGAGAGAAATGAAAGAAGAATGTATGAAATAAAAACTTGACAACGGAAGTTAGGGATTGTTTTTAGTTTTTACTCTTTGGTTTCCACTTTAGGTGCCATTTCATAAAGATTTTATCCTCATCTTCCTCTTGCATTTTTTTTTTCCACTCCTTTTATGCCATATATATTTTGTTGTTGTACCTTTTATGCGAAATAAAATAAAAGTATCCTCCTACAAAAAGTTTCAAAGGGATGAGAGAGAAAAGCGTATAATGGACAATAAGTACTTTTTTTTTTTTTTGCTTTTCACTTTTTAACATCTTAAATAGATATTTTTTTTTTCGTTATTGGACCATATTTTCAAGGCAGTCGCAAGTGATTGTTTTGACCCGTAAGTGATGAAATAGTATGAGCATCTCCAATAACCTCTTCAACAACTTTGGAATGCTAAAATAGGTTATCCACATCATCAAAACTCTCTCCAATAGCCTTGGATTGCTAAAATAAGTGACCCACATCATCAAAACCTATCTTGAAAATGTAAAAAAAAACATGCATTTTTTCTTTCCAAATAATAAATACATAGACATTCTTGACATGCTTTCGTATTTTTCATTATTTTCCATAACATTACATTAATTTAATTGAAAAGTCTATTGGGGCATAGATTATTAAAGTAGCAAATAAACATTTTCAAATTGCCACATAGATCAACAAAATTTAATTTAAAGAGCTTAATGTACTTGATTGCAACAAAAGTTTATTGATAAAATTGAAATTACATAGAGCCAACCAAATATAGACAAAGTGTGTCATTTCACCAAAGAAAAGAAAAAGACTGAGGAAAAGAACGATTTTATTCTTTTCTCCCTCTCCTATTTCTTTAAAATTTGAAAATCAAAATAATAGTTCATTTCTTTTCTGGTCCCCTTCCCTTTACGATCATGAAAAGGTATCATTGGATTTCTGCTTTATTTTTTGAGTGTGACAAAAGATATATGATCATACATAGTGCTATAAATTCTTTAAAATTTGAAAATCAAATGTATAACAAGCACCCAAGTTTCTTAGAGAAAAAGAAAGAATCAAAACATTAAGGGCATTTACAATCCTTTAGAACAATGACATTTTGATTCATAGCCACTATGGTGCATATCAACTCTTCATCTTGTATTCCTCTGATGACCTGACCAAAGGAGATCTGAAATGCATTAGTCTGAATGGGTTATTGCAGTAGATTTGGATGAAAGAAATTGGCTGCATCATCCTCTGGGGACGATCAAACCAAATTTTGCAGTCCACAATCCCCAGTAAAACAGCGTGCAAACTCTGAAGAAATTAAAAAAAAAAAAATTGCTTCAAAAGAAAATTGCAATTGTATGGTTGATACTAATCGGAGGAACTAACCTTCTTATAGAGAAGTAATTAAGAAGCACACATATTACTTCTTCAAAGCTTGTTTTCTCATAGTTTAGACATGCTGCATGAACTAGAGAAAAGAAAGAATGGTTTTTGAAGGCACTTCATTGGATGACTGGTGCACAATTAAGGATATAATGCCAATTACTAAGAGACATTCAGGATTCCACATGCCTGCAGCTGTACTGGTGATAATAGTACAGTACCCATAAGCATAAGTCCATTTCAGCACTCTCCTACACATTTGTCAACATTTCATGGCAAATCAAATCTAATTTGATGTTATAGCTACTTTGTGCACTAGAATAATTCCTTTCATATCTTTCAAAGAAAATAAATCTTTATATATCTAACCAAAAAGATAGTAGTTCACCTGCTGCCAGGCATCAGTTATGAACTTGAGCTGAGACTCGGTCTGCGCTGTACGTCGCTAAGCTCCTCCATCTGAGAAAAACACAGCCAGGATATCAATAAAGTAAATGCAGGGTACTAGTCAGATGAGGCTTGTAAGTCACAGCCTCTTCTCTATCGATAGGGTAATTACGAGTTCTTAAAAATAAATGAATAAACAAAAGAAACCCACAAGGGTTTGGGGATTAGCATAGGGATTTCAAAAATGATGCCTTGCTGACTTAAATCTGCAAAAGTTTTAAATATGGTTCTAGTTCTGCAATATGGTAGAAAGATAAGTACTAAGATCATTTATGTTTTGAATACATTTGTTACCAGCTACTCCATTGTAGAATGAAGATAGCAAACACATGAACCCATGTCTGTATGTATCAATAATATATATGTATGTGCGCATGTAGAAATTTTACAGATACTTACATTCACAGTTCGGATTTGGTGCAAATCCGCAAGAGCTTTTTGCCTCGACTGCCAAGGAAGAACAAAAAGATTTTAGTGAATAATTAGAGGAGAATAGGACCTTTATATCGCTCCATCAAAAACAACATTAAGGCTTAGACAATTAAATCCATAAAACAGAAGACCAATGCATAGACAATCTTGATTACAAATTCAAGAGGCTTCCAGATGCAAAACTGAAATCACGCACAGATGTATACCTGCCTACTACTGTTTGCACAACATATTCTAGAATAATTGTAATAAAACTCCTGCCAGTATTGAAATAAATTGTCAAGAACTACGCTTTCAGACAACGAGGATCTTCATTGATCATTGCCCAGATATAAAGACATGATTGAAAAAGAGTTCACTGAAAGAAAAAAAAAAACATAGCCAGGGTGTACTATAACAATATGAAAGAAATGCATAAATTCGAAGCATACTAGAACACACAGAGAGGAAAATTTGAAAAGGGAATTGTGAATACCAGCTGATTGCTTGCCCAACATTCAAATCAGAAGAACAAGAAGAAAAAGAAAGAAAGCTCTTTTTAATTACACATTTTCTTGTTTTGGAACTCTGTCATTTTCTTTATTAAGTAATGAAAACGAAAAAAGTTCATTTATTAGGTTACCTGGTGCATTGAGATGAAGACAATAGAAATTCCTAAAACAAAGTTCACAGTCAATTTATGACCAAACAGCAAAGCAGATGCCATGCCTGTGAAGATAGCAATCTCTATATTACAGCAAACGTGTCCATACACAAATTGGCATGACACTTACACCTGAAGTTGCAATTGCAGAAAACCAACAAGCATATTTGAAGAAAAAAGAGGACAGAATTTGTTGAGAAGGCTTAGACGAAGTCATGCATCCAAACCAAAGCTGCTACGATATGTTTATGAGGCTCTAGGTTCACACTGAGGCATTTGATCTTAGATGAGGTCATGCACCCAAACCAAAACGAGTGGAAAAGGGTATGTCCTTCCACCTTATCGCCGACATCTCGGTGATAGTGTCCAGCTTGTTAATAAGCTTCAACATCAGTGAAATACCCATAGAAATCCTTGGTATAACCTAAGCTACCAAGAGATTATATGGCATGCTCATCATTTGCAAATTCCAGCCCAAGCCCGACCATATGCATAAACCACCTATTAAATTTAGAGAAACAGAATAGATAGCTCCACCCAAAATAAAATCATAAAACCGTAATCAAGATCCAAATTGGTACTAGATCACTGACTGCAAGAACAGAAGCAAATGGCCATTTGCTACCTTTAGAAAACCAATTCCTCAACATCCTTTAATAACAAAACCAGTTACTTTCATGAGCAAATTATAAAATCCTACATCTCACCTGGAGGTATATACTTGTGTCATATTGGCTCTTTAGAGAATACTCATTGTAAACAGAGGCCAAGGATGGAACTGTTACATATAAAATGTGTATACACAGATCAATGTGTATACATATGCGCTTGTTGAAACTGGAAGACCTAAAGCAGTGGAATCCTCCTGTAAAGATCGCAACTGATTTATGCTAATCCTGATGAGAAACAAAGCAAGGGCTTCCCACTGTATCAAAGTAATATCAGTTTGATACCATATAACAAAGCATAGCATCAAAAGGATTATGTTCAAATAAGTTCATCCAAAGTTCTACAATTGACTACTCCCCCCACCTAGTAGGAACCAGAAAAGAACATGTACAAGTAGTAAGAGTTCCTTCTTTTTCTGGCTCAATGCATAGACTGTGAAAAAGGGAATGGCTCAAGAATAGTTATGTACAGTTGTGTTTGTTACTTATAAGGCAAAGAATCCCATTTTGTTCAATTATCTTGGCAAGAAGCCCAGGCTGTTTTCATAACCAAAGATTAATAAATACCCATTTATACAACACTCATAAACAAAAACAGAGATCACTGCCATTGGTTATGTTGATTTGGCCACAACAAAAATTATAAATTTCATGCAGAAAAGATCATTCATAATCGAAATAAGCCTCTGGATGAAGAATACATGTCTAGACTGGTAAAGGCAAATGGTAAATACCAAATTATAATTACCCATCATTTATACGTATGAAGTAAACTTGAATGTTTTTGTACTTGTCAGATGTACTTACCCCTGAAAAATGGTAGTTGGCATTGCAAATATTCACTGTAGATTTTTCATTGCCCCTCTACTACCAAAGAAAAAATGTTTTTTTGGTATTTTCTCATAGAATAGAACCCAATTCAGTACAAGTCAATAACATGATTTTAATCAAAAGTACAATAGAAAGCAACTAGTCAGAAAGAACCCCAGAACCTGAACAAACTACACTTGGAAAATTAAAACATGTCCAAATAATTCAAAAAGCTCATTTTTAGTAGTTGTGTGGGGTCAGGTCAACTCTCTCTCTCTCCATGTCTCTCTCTCTCTCTCTCATAGATGATATCTGAACAATCTGATGATATCACCACCCAAATCACTTCTTTTGTCAGTTTCATCCATGACATTAATCTGACCTCTTCAGTCATTGTAATTGATAAGGATTGTTGGGATTTTAATTCAACAGATCATTTAGCACTCCCTCGGTATCTTCACATAAAAAGCATTGAAGAACCTCATTTTCATCTTGCCTAATTTCCACCCACACGCCTGCAACATCATCATTTATTGGGAATGGCCCTTCATTATCTCTAAATTCTTCTTGTATCGCCAAATACAATTCATTTGCTCCACCTCCGCCTTCCAATGTAATCCGATATACATGATATTGGACATTGAACCAATTCAATTCGCCCACACAATGTTTAGTTTTCAAAATATAATCCCTGCAACAAAATAAAAATTAATTCAATTTAAAAATCGATATAACAAAAAACTTGGATAAAGTAAGCAAATCAATCATTCAACTTACCCGACAAGCGATTCATGCATTCTACTAGTCACAAACTCACCAAGCACACAAACGGATGATGGAATAGCAAGCAATAGTGCACGGCTGTTGTCATCTTGATGGAATTTATATCTTTCTAGGTAGGTATTCAACACCCTCCTACCTTCTGTAGTATATCCATTTTCAGTAATAAAATATAGATCAATCCCACCCCCAGATAGATAATCAAATAATGAAGCATGGATAAGAGCATGTTGACAGAAGTTCTTGACTTTTTCACAGGGCATGTCAGGTGCATACGAAGTCTGATCCAAAAATCCACGAGCATAAGGAGCTCCGGAACCAATTGTCACAAACTTATCAATTCTTTTAACTCTGTCACTATGTGGAAATTCAACTCTGTCAATTTTTGCTACCCATTGAACTTTATAAATTTCTGGCACATTTCCACTATAGCCGACAATAAGAGTAGCAACATTGCAAATTTGTTTGTGTTCCAGAAACTTGTATGCTTCATTGGTAAGCGATGCAGGTGTATGTAAAGTATTAGCTGCCATTCGACGAATATCAGGGATGAAATAATTAACAGATGTCGCTTTCTGTCCATATTTTGTCACAAATAGTGAGTCACTCAACCAGACAATTTTCAGGTTCTAGTCGACATGTTCCGAGCTCAAAATACTTCCACGTCGAATATCCGACCCCAGAAGTATTCCACCCTTATAAAAAGTGCAACATTACCATCCAAATATGAAGATTCCAAAATCTGAAAATCTGTTTCTATGCATCTTGCCCAGTTAAAATGTACGTTTCCATTTAGCTTAACCTTGGATGGCTTTGTGTAACATATAGGTTATATAGGCATATCCTCGATGAATTCCTTTGATGTTTTTCTTTTAGGAAAGCAAAGCATTTCCTTGATGAACTTTAAGCATTTGAATTTCTGTCATATTCTCTCTGGTTTGATTTAAGCATTCAAATCTAAAGATTCCAAAATCTGAAAATCTGTTCCTATGCATCTTGCCCAGTTAAAATGTACATTTCCATTTAGCTTAAGCCGGGATGACTTTGTGTAGCATGTAGGTTATATAGGCATATCCTTGATGAATTCCTTTGATGTTTTTCTTCTAGGAAAGCAAAGCATTTCCTTGATGAACTTTAACCATCTGAATTTCTATCTTTTTTCTCTCTGGTTTGATTTAAGCATCCAAATTTAAAGATTCCAAAATCTGAAAAATCTGTTTTTATGCATCTTGCCTAGTTAAAATGTACATTTCCATTTAGCTTAAGTCTGGATGGCTTTCTGTAGCATATAGGTAATATAGGCATGTCCTTGATGAATTCCTTTGATGTTTTCTTTTAGGAAAGCAAAACATTTCCTTGATGAACTTTAACCATATGAATTTCTGTATTTTTTTCTCTAGTTTGATTTAAGCATCCAAATTTTAAGATTCCAAAATCTGAAAATCTGTTTCTATGCATCTTGCCCAGTTAAAATGTACATTTCCATTTAGTTTAAGCCTAGATGGCTTTGTGTAGCATATAGGTAATATAGACATATCCTTGATGAATTCCTTTGATGTTTTTCTTTTAGGAAAACAAAGCATTTCCTTGATGAACTTTAACCATCTGAATTTCTGTCTTTTTCTTTCTGGTTTGAGTCCAAACAAATTGCATACAGCAAGCAATATTGCACATGCGTCACTTTGATAATTGGAATTCCATTGACAGGAAAATGCAAGGAACAACAAATATCGCGTTTTTTTATAAAGGTATTATCCTTTTGGGATCAGAAACGCGATCTGGAAGTGGATTGAGCTTTGCTCATAACGACTACAACTCGAAGATTGTGCGCTTGAATGACCATTTGTTTATGGCCAAGTGTGGACAGAAAGCGGGAGCTGTCAATTCCTTTGTAGCTTAAATTTGTCGTGTGACACCTAATACTTTGCATACACCTGAATCGCTTGCCAATGAAGCATACATGTTTCTGGAACAACGAAAAATTAGCCATGTTGTTACTCTTATTGTCGGCTATAGTGGAAGGGTACCAGAAATTTATAAAGTTCAACGGAAACCAGGAGTTCAATTTTCAGATCGTAATGGAGCTGAAAGAATTGAAAATTTTGTCGCAATTGGTTCCGGAGCTCTGTATGCTCTTGCGACTTTGGAAAATGTGTATGTACCTGACATGCCCGGTGAAGCAAGCAAGAACTTAGGTCAAGATGCTATAATATATGCTTCATTATGTGATCATCTGTCTGGGGGTGGGATTGATCTATATTTTATTACTGAAAATGGATATACTATAAAAAGTAGTAGGGTGTTGAATACCTACCTAAAAAGATATGAAACCCATCAACATGACAACAGCT